TCTTTTCTGAAAGCCAACAGGAAGGGCAAATTCCGAATGAAGGAGACGCGGATTCAAAAATTTCAGATGGTGGAATGACTGAAACCAAAGGCTCCCACCTTTCTGAACAATAGGGTGGGTAACAAAAAACCCCCTGCTATTATCAGTTAAAAAGAAAAAAGTTCTACTTCAGAAAGGGCCTACCCTCAGGAAAGGCTTGTGCGACTGTGAAGTCAAGAAACAATAAACCACAAAGATATATGTCTAGCTGAGGTGAACACACCTTCTGAAGTCTTCTAAATCATTACATTAAACACATATTTTATGTTTGTAAGGATTAGGTAAACATGCAATTAAGTCACTAACACTTAACTGAATGGGCATTTCTGCTTTGCTTACTGGGTCACCAAATTCTCTTAGAATACTTAATACACTGGCCTGAGTCTCCCTTGATAATAACTGGAGACTTTACTGATCAGGACACAGTTTGAGATAAGCATACCTGAATTTTCAAGATGCCAGCCACTTGAGTGGTTGAAGGGGTGATTGTAAACTTCCATTCTGACCTCCAGCGGCCATTCCTTTAAAAAAATAAATTAGAAATCAGATGTCACCCCACTGGTTAAAGAAAAAAAAAACAAACAACCCCCAAACCATAACATACAACTGACAGTCAAAGGAAAACAGAGAATGAAATATGCAAAACCGTTCCCTAAAGATTCAGCCCTGAAACCAGTTCAGAAGAGAACAGTTTCCCAAAATATTTACCCTCAGTTTTGGATGTGGACCAAGGAGATTTATTAGCAAGGACCTTTTAACGATAGGACTTAACTTCTGAAAATACCTAAAGCCTCCAATGGTCTTTCCCTCCCTTATTATTAACTAAGTATATATAGTCAATATTTTGCTTCTGGGACCTGGCCGACTTGCTGGATCAGCTGAAGCCACACTTCACATCAGGCTATGGAAAACCTGAATGGAGGGAATATTAAAGTAGCAAGACTTTCCGCTATGCTGAACTGTAACTAGGCCTTTCAGCTCTTCTAGCATTTCTGTTCCAGGACAACTATTTCCTTCCAGTTTCCTTCCACAAATTCAATAGCCTTGCCAAATTGCTTAAAGGGAGTTTCAAACATCTGGAAAACAGTATGGGGAGATTGTAGTTTCACCTGATTTCTTTCCTGTAGACTAGACATTTTCTTATTTAGTTACGAAGTTAGTGGATTAGAAGGCTAGTACATTAGAGCTATATTAAGAATGCACCGTGGCTGTCTCTCGATTTCTCCTTTGCACTTAAAGAAGGAAAGAAAGTTGATACTATGAGTTCCAATCCTACTAATGTTAGGTGTAGGTTCCAGTGCATTCAACAAGGGGAGAGAAAGAGATAAAGACTTTAAGATTAACACCTACTAATGGATCTATATCGACACATCTTAGATACTAACAACGTTAACTCTATTATAAAGCCATTGGTTATTATTTCAGACAATATCCAAATTATAGATTATCACTGAAAATTCAGACTAAGGCAATTCAGAAGCTTGTTGGCATCTCTATAAAAACTGCAAGGGTCACCCAACTCAGTGACACTAATATTACTGGTAGCCTTAAGATGAACCCATTAGTTATAAGAAAGCTTACGTGCTGAACTACATTTTAGGTACAATATTAGTTTTTAGATGCATGGGATTCAATGACTAGCCAACAGATTTGTTTGCTTCTTAGTCACTTTGTGGTCCTTGACATTAAGATGCTATTCCAAGAAAAGAGTTCAAGTTCAGAAGGATCCTTCTGTAGGAAATGCTCTAAGTTAAAAATGTGTCATTACTTTATTCACCTCTGCTGACTTAAGATGTTTTGCAAGACATTAACTGTCCTTCCTTTTCCTTCACATTCTTTAATAAACCATCTATCCTACTATGTTGATAGTATTTCAGAAATTCATAGAACATTTTTGTTTAGCATGTATTGGTTTTCTATCATCCGACAAACTTGCTTTCATGATAGGTTGCCAGCCTTCCAAATGCCTAAAAAGCTGGGACACCTTGAGATTAAATACTGGCTGTGGCTTGGGCTGGATATCCAGACATACAGCTGGATAAGTGAGGACCCTGGTTAACTTTGAATTTATTCCTCCATCCCCAAATCCCCCAAACCAATATGCATTTATTAAAACTTGCTAAGAACGAGAGTTAGTCTGACTATCCCCCTGTAAAACTCTTAGAAACATGGCAAATATTTACGCATAGATGTCTGACCATAACTTTATTAAAGAAAACTTTCAAGAAAGACTTTCTCCATCTATAAAAGGTTGTTGCATATCTGTTCCTCCTCTTTAATATTTTAGTCTTTTTATAAAAGTAACTATTTGGAATACCAAAATTCATTCATACTTCCAAACTAAAAAGAAAATCAGTATTATTTCAAGTTACTTTTAATACTGATGTAAAACATGCAGACTTAACTAGTCAAGTTTAAGTCAGTAGGAAAAATTATGTATTAACCATGCAAATTCAATTGAAGTCTATGGAACAGTATACTGGGCAAATCATTTAACTGATACAGACACATGCTGAAATTACTATGCATATGTAATATTCACCTTCAGCATCAGAAAACAAATTTCTGCACTTCCATTCATTACCCGTGGGACTGCTAAATATAATTTCAAGCAGATGCAAAATAGCAAATAAAATAATAATGAAAAACATTTCTTCAGACAACTGCATATATTAGCTATCTTTAGGAGATACTTCCTTAACCCAATTCCAATACTGTGATATTTATCTCAACTCTGGCCAGGTTCCTGCAAGGAGCTATCCAAAGTTCACTCCAGACTGTGGAAAACATCTTTCAACCAAGCACGGGGGGGGGGGGGGGGGGGAATGTCTCTCTCAAGCTGCAGTTTATAAGAGTTCATTTCATCCAAGATCACCTTTATCTACCTCACCCAAAAATTAATGATTCAAGTCCTACAGTAAATTAATCTTTGGTCACCTCCTTTCTCCAAGACATGCAGAATTGCATGTCTGCAAACTAGAAGGAGCTGGTTTTAGTCTGTCAGTCACAAAGGAAGCCACACAAGCAGAAGCAACTATGAGGGAACACAGGCATGGGTATTGGTGCTGGTGTGATAAACTGGAAGAGTCATGAAGAATCTTATGAAGTTCCCAAAGTTCTGCAAAGGAGATGCAGATGTGCAGTCTGCCATTTTACTTACCACAAAGGAAGAGATTTCTACATACTTTTGGCAGAAAAACTTGGGGTGGCGTGGAGGGAGAAAAAAGTCACATGCAAGATGTGCATGCACCTCCTTCGCTGAACTAAGGATTATGAGCATAATGGCACTAGTGCAGTTATTCAGTTTGCTGTATTTTACTGTATTTGTATCCATACAGAAACTTACCAAAAATTTTTTGCTTGGAACTGATGGCTCTCTATGCATGCAATAATGGTCTGCTGTCCATCAATTGTTTTACCATACACCTTGATTAGAAAGGAAAAACAAAAAAAAACAAACCCCAAAAAACCAGAGTTAAAGTTTCAGTATCTGTCTTGCTCAAACTGCTTAGAGATATCTAGTTCTATTATCGTTACATAAACTGTAAAATGTAATTTTATAACCACTATGGTTCTTACATAATATTTAGTACATGAAACAAAAGTATCTATTACAATGCAGAAAAATTTAAGATTAGAAAATCTGAAGGTCAAGCATCTTAACTGAAATTTTATATACTGGGAACTGATTTTTCTGCAACTATAGGAATTTTAAGCCTATAGCAGTGACTGCTGTGACAATATATATTATCAGCTGGGTTTCAGATACCAGTTATTCTACAACTAAATGATGATCTAAGCCTTTATAGGACTAGCAAAAAGGTGATTAAAAGTGTGGTTTTGGTCCTCTGTTCTGCTTTATCCCCTAAAATCAAATACTACTAAAAAGGATCTCAATGAACATGCAATCTGGTTTCTTTTACAGAAGGGGGCACTCATCTGACTGCCCGAGAATCCAATTCAACTTGTTAACTCAGCAACTGATTTCTTTTTTTTTTTGGCTAGTTAATTTTTCCATCAGAAATGGAAAGCACAGGACGGCTACTGTTAGATCAGTTTGCTGAACTTCAAATGGTCATAGGGCTCCTAACAGCAAATGAGTGCTGTTTTGGTCCAGAGTGAGAGGTTTTATTTTAAGAAGCCATCAGAACCCAGTGATTCTAGTGGTAAGAATATAGCACTTCGATATATCGGAGATGTGATGGAGAGAAAACAGTTTGTTTTACTGACAGTTTTGTCAGTAAACCAAGCCAAGACAGACATTTGTATCTTACGGAATTTTTTTTTTTTTTTTTTTTTTTTTAAAGTAGCCAGCCAGGTAGCCACGATCAACGGGATCAACCTGCAGTAGTCTACAGAAAGTCTTAACGCTTTAAGAAATTTAAATAAAAATTCTTCAGAACTGGGAGTTAAGTCTTCACTATGACCTGCAGTAACCACCCACTAGCAATGGCTTCCAATAGCTGAAATATTAAACTTCTGAAGCTTTCCCTTATTTCCCTGTGTGAACCCTTGACAGGACTAAATTCTTTACAGTTGAAACTGCCTATCTTCCTGGTTTACAGAGAGTTACACTTTTAAACTTCTATCTACAGTGGTATAGTGGTTATATAATTTAGTACTTACTGTGCAGACACCATTTGGGTAGTGTTCTTTCACATATGCTTTCATTGCTGTTTCAACTGAATTTCTCCAGGATTCTATGGCATTTTCAACCTCGTGGGGTCTAGGATCAGTAGCCTCCTTTCTTAAGTGATCAAATTTAAAAGAAATCTTGTTCTTGGGATCCAAAAATTTTCCATTTCCCAAATCACCATGTTCTGTTATCAAAACCTGTATTATAAAATTTTAGTTAATAACATTTGCTATTGAATAAAGAAAAAAATACCATGCCAAATCTAATTATATCCTACATTTAACTGGAGCTTACTCCTATCCAAAGACTCACATTTTAGACAAAACATGCATATAGCAAGAGAGGACAAGGCTAACATGACAAATTGACTCAGAAAAAAATATCCTGAATCTTACCCTCTTACTGCAACAAACAATGCAATATAGAAATTCATGTCTTCTAGTACTAAAGATGGAGCAAATTGTTTCTACAGCTCCAAATCAGGTCTGACTGAATTCACGACAACACCACAGAATGAAATTTCAAGCTCTTTAGATGCCCTAAATGATCAACTTATGGAACTGGTAGTATTGGAGGGCCATAATCTCTGTATTTTGGCAGGGAAGATGCATTTCTTTTCATTTTCTTGCCAAGATATGTTCCAATACCAGAACATCTTTAACAGTTTAAGGAACATTGCAAGTATTTCATTGTATTCATACCTGTTCATCGTAACCGTCAATTTTTACTGGAGTAAACTGGTCCAAGTTGTACTGTGCAAATGCACTACAAGAGAAAAAAAACACCAAAAGCCTGCATCAAGCACAGTCTTTTTCCTTAGTAGCTGTGAGAGATTTAAATAATAGCTAATAATTTGGGTAACGATGCATTAAAAAAAAATTATATCAATGCTTCATCATCTAGCAAGCCCAAATTCTTGAAATCACCTTGGTTCGTTCAGTGCTCATATTACAGATTCCAACCACCATTACACAGTGATTTATGTCCAAAAGTAACTTGACAGACAAACACATAAGCTTTACAGCAACCCATAGAAACTGGAGGAACAGATAAAGTTTAAATTCCACAGGGATCCAGCCTACTAAGCCAGACATCTCCATTCTTACAGATGAAACTAATTTTGGCATAAAAACCAGTAGGCATAATGTTTTGATACAAAAGTAGGGTCTAAGGAAGCAGTATCTTACAGATATTCAGTGCCTATAACATGTACCAAGAAACAGAAAATGAAATCCAAAAAGGTGGAGACTAGTTCCAAAATCCAGGTCACCCATTTCCAAAACAGTTGCTCTAATCATTAGGATACAATACAGATCTCTCCTCTGCCAAGAATTTAATCTTGATCAAAGATGCACAACACACATAATAGGGTTTTACTTGCCACGCACACATCTTTTTAAATGAATCACTTACTGACAGTAAAAGTCTTACTGAAAAACATCTTGCTTTCATGCAACTGAGTATGTGGCATCTGGTACTTACTGGGCTGCTCCTTCCCTGAGAAGATTGTCATTATTAAGCAGCAATCGAACATCTGAAAAGAGATATTTACAACATAAAAGTACAGTTAACTCAGAAACTTGTTTCGGTCACATAACAAATGTCAGACTGTACAAAACAAAAAACCAACAAACCTCCCCATACCCATACAGATTACTAGGTAGGATACTTATTGCTTCATTTTTCATAATTTTGACTGAACAAAACAAGAAGGAAATGGATCCCTTCCAACACAATCTGGTAAGCAGATACAAGCCATATTCTACAGGCTGTGTGACAGCTCTAGGAATCTGTCAACCCAGTTTTTAGAGAATTGAGAACAGCATAGGATTCAACTGAGTTCACTTTTAAGATGCAAACTACCAAAGTCCTCACACTGTATTGACAGTAGTGGTTACTGTATTTTGATGACACTAATATGGTATGTGTTGTACTTTTTTTTTTAAGCCTTACCATTTTTGCTCTTTGTTCCTTAATGACACTTAGTAGTCAGAGCACAATATATCACAATACCATTTCTCCTACCATCATACAAGAAACATATGAATATAGAATAAAGTCAATGCTCTCCTCAGAATGACTTCATATTTACTATGCAGTAAATTGTCATTTATGTACTTGATTTACTGCCTTATTATTTATTAGGCAGTATTTTAATAACAATTTAATGCACTGATCATAAACTGATCATTAGTCTCACTATAACATTTTAAACTCTTCTGAAGATTCCCAAGATATGTGCAAGTGAAAAAAATTCGGAATATATTGAAGTATTTTTTCTTAAAAAAAAAACCAAACCCACAATAAAAACCAAACCAAAACACAAAACAACAAAACACCTGAAACAAAAAACCCCAACCCCACAAACCCAAAAAACCCCACGCCAAACCAAACAAACAAAATCACAGTTTACAGAATTGGAATTTAAAGCTTTCTCTCTTTTTTTTTTTTTAAGTCAGTCTGAATCTCATTGAACACCGGTCACGCATTTATGATCAAATGTTTTGTTACGTGTTTTCCAACATATTATACTCTGTTATTGAGCAGGTAGTTGCAACTATGAACTAGCTTAACAATAAAGGTTATAGCAGTACTGCTATAAGAAATTGTATTAACCTTCAGGGAGCTGGGTTAATGAGCTGCTCACCAACAGTTTGTTTCACAAATGCAGTACAAGCTAAGTTTAAATAATAATCAGCTGGTCACAATTTAACTAAAGTATTTCTAAAAACATTACATTCTTTAACAAATTTAAGTTCTCTCTAGCCTGACACTGACTAAAAGTTTAGTATACTAAACGTACTTCTTTACTTAAATAGCACCAGAGCTATTTGTAAGCTCCAGCTACAAAACGTATGCCTTCTTGCATGGTATTTATGCCCATGTATCTTGATGCAAGACAAACAAAATTTTTAAAGAAAAATAACATCTTAGGTAAAGTTCAGGCAACAATAGTTGAGAGAAGCTAATTTCAAGTTTCCTTTCAGCTTACCAATACTCAGTAAAATGAAATGTGCCCAGAATTTAAGGGTTAAAAATGCTTGGAGAAGATTAATATTCTTTCCACAACTGGCATTAAGCAGTAGTCCTTTGTATATTCAAGGTTAAGTATCTGTAATTATATTCCTTCTTTAAAAAAAAGACCATTTCAATTTCAGCTAGTTTAATTTCTGTTGAAAAATGTAATTGCCTATCAAAGACTGAAAAAAAAAAAGAGTACATGTGTCTTCTAAACAAACACCCTAGCAACTGTTAATTCATGACTGATTAAAAACAGAAAGAAAGCTCATTCTCACATCACAAAGAAAAGTGGTACTTTCCTCCTTTTGCATTTAAACTCCAAGCTGTCTTGTGACTGCAAAGCTTATTATGACAAGCTACAAAGCCAGCTCTTACAGCAAGTGAGCTGCTAAAATATAAGCTACATGAAATTCAGGAGAGTAATTGGCAATACAATTTTGGATATAGATGCCTTAAATGAAAGGACAGAGCAGACAGATACTTACCATTGAACACCTCATTGAATTCCCCAGGAGGAGCATGAATTATGAATTTTGCTGCTATACGCACCTTAAATACAAAAACAATTATGTGGTTGTATATAATTGTATTCATTCCTATTCAAACCAATCATGCATTGTGTAGCTTTAACACCCAGACATGAAACCGTACAACTCCCACCGTTTCATATACTTGCTCACATTATTTAAACTACTCCGACTTTGTTAGAAACACAGAATATAAAGTTCCACCTCTTCAAACAGAATAGAGGAGATTATATATGATGGAATCGGATAGAGAAATCGAGTCACTCATGTTTTGTATTACTGACAAAAAGAAAGAGATTAATATAACAAGCAAGATCAATAATATATTCACAATCTATTTCAACTTTCAGACCATGGATGTCTGGGAATCAAAACATGTTCCAAGAGAGCCAAAAAACATGATGAAGATACATTCAGTCTTCAAAGCTTCTCCTCTAATTTTACTACACATCCTATGGTTCTAAACTTTCCAAAAGGCCCACAGCTAGACAGTAATCAATAGATTACGTAAGCTTAAAACAACTTGTGTAGACACTAAAGCATGTAATTTCACCTGCTTCTACCTGTAAGGCCTCTTAGTACCACAGTATCTGCAGATAAGTTTAAAAAAATACCTTGAGAACTTCTTTAATGCAAGTACTTGAGCAATTGCCTTCAGCCACAACTTCTTGCAGACAAAACACAGGATAAGCCAGTACTTCCACTAAAAGTACACGCACCTGCCCTGGCTTTCTCCCTCCTTCTGCTTGCACTTGTACGACTGCACAGTGAGCAAAATCAGAAAGGTTATTTTTCCTTTTTTTTTCAGACCAGTTCACTGAACTGGTTCACTGCACAGTTGCGGACACATGTGCTTGCAAAAGGAAAACAAAAATGCTTTTTTTGATGTGAAGCAACCTTAAAACTTTTCAACTATTACCTTACTTGCAGAATGTCACTCAGCAGACTTGCTTTCATCCATTCTTCTTTCCCCCCTTAAACTGTTAAGTGCACTCATTATAAAAATAAATAAAAGTTGGTTTCCTAACTTAACCTGACAGAAGTTCCTATCCTTCACACTTCACAGTTATCTAAGTTCAGGAGCCAAAGCTCTCTTGCATCCTTGATACGACGTCACTATTCAAATACAGGATACTATCTGAACCATAGTTCCCATTTCTAACACCTTCAGTTATGTTTCTATGGAATAAGGAGCTGGGAGATTCAGTGTTTGCACTCTCTGGGCTTCCTGTTTGAAATTAAGGTGTTTGAGAAGCACATCCTCCATTAACAAATACCTAAAAATAATAAAAGAATACTTTACATTTACACATTTATATATATTTGAAACTACAAAACAACTGTCAGCATGCTAGAGCTCTTGAACTGACTTGTAAATAGCTTTTATAGTCAAGGGTAGCAGTACAGCCTTGGGCCCCAGGTTCTTGACAGGGCCCAAGTTTCAGACAACAGTCTCCAGGAGAGATGGTTCAAGCTCAGAGTGCCCTGAGAGCACACTTAGCTGCCTCATTAGCAGTGTTCAAACCTCAGTGAGATCCCAAATGACTAGCCCAGGCAGCTTTCTGCTCACCAACAGTCAGCACACAGCCACTCAGAGCTGGCTAATGGAAATCGAAAGACTGTCAGTTCCCAACTTTCTAAATTGAATGCTACATTTTGGATTGCAGACAGCCTTTATCTGCCGCCTCCAATACCTAAATCGGAACTCCTCTTTCCACGTAAACATAAATTTGCATTATACCGAGATAAATGCCACAGGGTTTACTCTTCTCAAAAGAGACACAGAGAGGCAAGAGCATCTTCCATGACAGCTTATTAAAGGACTTGTCCAGATAAGAAGAAAGCATGACTTGGATTGTCTCCTTTGACCCAAAGGAATGTAAACTCATCTGCATTAGCCACCAGTCTGCACACTTGTCCAGAGTAAAGACATACTCCATACCTCTCCCGCTGAAGTCAGGGCGCTCTGTACACAGCGTACACAGCTCAAACCAAAGAAATTTAAAGGACAGGAAATACAGCTAACCTACAGTACCATTAAACCACTCATGAAGGAGAAAGGCAAGACAGGCTCCAAGGCTCTATTACCAGGACATTTTATCAAACGAACAATTAGCAGAGTGTGGGATCAGACTAGAATTTAGGCCTCATACTTAAGAGCAGGTATTTAATTGTGCTTTCAGCATGACTATCAGGCTGACTCCCAGCTCAAGGTTAGATGAAGGGACACCATTTCTTGATTCCGACTCGACTTCAGGACGTGAACAGAACTGCATACCTCCTGCCAAGGCCAGGTTAGCTCTGGGCAAGCAAAGAAACAAGACTTAAAGACATTTTGAGTTCTGAAGTAAACAGTCCATCAGTTTTGGGCTGGGCAGCAGCTAAATGAGCAAAACTAAGCAAAACTTGGGTGCCCAAACTGCATTCTGAATGACCGTGTGCTTTAAACTGGTAATATCTGTAAGGTGATATATTAAGTCTGTACCAAAACTGGAATAATACCTCATTTTCAACTGTTTGGTAATGTAAATCTGGTTTTGCTTTTTTTTTTTTTTGCTATCAGTAAGAACTATTCTTATCAGTCAGATTAGCTACAGTATGAGTAATATCCATTCAGAAGTATTCAATAGTAACAGATGTTTCCTCAGGAAAGACCAATCTAAACATTACTTTTAATGAACATTTTACTAGTAAATTAAATTCCTCAGTGAGAGTTTTTTCAGTGTCATAATTCATCATAGATGCCACTTTTTATAGGACAAACACAATCATGCAAATTCGCAATGAACATCTCATCAAGAAGTATAAAGTATATTTATGCTTACAGAAGCAAAAAAACTAATGTGTCTTCAGAAGTTGAGAGTCTGTCAGCTAAGACACTGTCTGCATTTTGCTAACCTGCCTTTGTGAAACCCATTTAAAACTAATCCACTTTTCTTCAGCAGTTAAACCAAATTAACTTATCTGTGGAGATGAGTATCTGAAAAAGTCCAACTCATCCATACAAGAAGCCCATATAAAAGAATTAAACCCAGTAGTCTCACTTAACACATAAGAACTGAAAAGCACTTACGGCTTTATTGCCACTGAATTTTTCCAGAAATAAATGCTCTAAAGGAGGCTTCCGTTTTCCAAAACCAGACTGATACTGAAGGATAAAGCACTTTCATGAGCCTCAATGAGATGAAGATCTCCCCCTTTTGGCAGTAAAAAGCCACTGGCTCAGCTATCACTTGAGGAAGCACAATTTAAACAAAGGACAGTCCATAGAAAATGAGGTGTTTATGGGCAAATAAAAAACAATTAAAAATGTACATACAGCAAGAGGCACTTTACTTGTAACATGAAGCGACAGGCAAAAAACCTCAACTGCAATATAGTCCAGTTGAGATAGGAAGTTATTTTTGGTGAAAACTATTTAACAAAACACTTCAATCAGATGCATTACAGTTGAAACGAATGCTGGTTATTCAATACATTGAGACTTTAAAAAATTGATTAGAAGTGATTTGAACAAGTCAAAACAGAAACAACCTAACATTTTAGAAGTCTAAATGACAAAACCTTTTTCATTCAAGAGAACTGCAACGTCACACACAAGAACCTTATACATGTATCTGCAAGTAACAAAAAATTAGGTTACAGTTCAGTATTCCTTTAGAAAACTCAAAAGCCAAGACTGAGAAAACACCTGAAGTTTCTCCACTTACGACTCTAGTTACTCCCAACACACCACCTAAAGTTTAAGACAGTGTTTTATTGATGTAGTTTCTGAGATCAGATTTACAGTCACTGTTTTCAGTTAAATGTCTGCAGAGTGGCTTGCAAGAAACTATAAACTTCACTAATCCAGAACATCTGATCATCAATGGTTCACAAAGAATGCACAAAACCAATCTAAATGCATTTTCATGAAAAGTGACTTCATGCAGGTTTGACCATTAATTTGGACAAATCATACAGAGGCTGAGAGGAGGCTACAAAAAAAAAAACCCCCACACAAAAGCAACCTTCTGAAACTTTAAGAAGGGAAGCATTTCCCACTGCAGGTGCTCTCTTTATCCGATTTTCACATATACAGCAGTCACAGTCATCAATTCTTGCTTAAATGGAAGTCTGATATCAGTAGGTAAAAGCTAGCGAGATTTACTTTCTCAATTCAAGTGAAGCCAAATGCTACCCATCGCATCAGTTACAAGCTTTTTGATTTTATAAAGTAAACCATTTCCGTTAAGGTAAAAATTCAGACTGAGAAGCTTAGCAAAAGAGAAAAGGACAAGTTTGTTGTATGTGATGAGCATGGATATTAGGCATAATGATGCCTAATTCTTCATTCTGCTAGAGATTAAAACATATGTATCAAAAAATGCCTACACTCAGTTACTACAGTATTTGCAGTTTTCAGATTACACAAAGCACAGCGGTAACAATGTACAGAATGGTGTCAGTTATGCTAAATCTGGCTTGTTTTCATACTTTTGCTTTTATTTCACTATCTAATTTCTCTCAAGGCATGACACCCATCAGATACATAGAGAAATCCTACTTCTCTACCTTTCCCAGACTGAGACATTCTGAAGTTTGTTTTATTTTAAAGAAGTTACACGCAGTGACTTCAAATGCACCCAAACCACTCTTCCTGTTCCTGGCACATCGGAACTGACACCGGTTGAAAAAGCCCGACCTTCTGCGCTGTACTTGCCTATATATGGTCATGAACACACACTCGCAGAAGTGCAGGGGCTCCTGCCACGCCACACCACTGCCAGCTCTGCTAAGATATGCTCATTCCTGAGAATCAGCTAGGGTACACCTAAGTTTTAATGTCTCTATTATTGTTAAGTTAGCTCCCCCCCCCCACCTTTTTCTTTTCCCCTTTTTAACTTAACTGAAATACAGCTGTATTTGCCAGGCACCCTGACAGCTCACTCTTTCAATCAACAGCCACGCTGCACAGAAAAAAACGTGCTGGTAAGCAAGATGCTGTGAAACCGCATACTTTGCCCTTACTCCTTCCTACACATCACTTATTTCAAGTTCAGCTGTGAACTTCTTGCGGTAGGGAGA